CCTTGACGATAGAAGCTTACCGGCTTCGAAGCGATAAAGTCATCAATGCATTTCGTATCTCTTCAAATCTCACGAAATGTGTATCAGCCAAATGATGCACGACCGGAATAGGTAGTAATCGAAAGGCGCCATGTCTGGGTTATACGCCGCGTGCGGAGGAAGTTCCCAGCCTAACGCAAAGATATGGTCCTGAGTCGCTTTTGCAACATGTGGTCGAGCATTGTCATGAAGCAAGATCACTTTAAGATGTCCTTGGCCAGTAAATGGTCTCTTTTCTTCTAATGCATCGCTTAAATTGGTCAATTGTTGTTGGTAGCGGTCTGCCGTGATTGTTTCACCCGGTTGTAACAACTCAATAATACAACATACCTTTCCAATCCCACCAGAGCAAAACCTTCTTGGCGTGGATATTGGGCTTTGGCGTCGATGTCGAAGGTTGACCAAGGTCAACCCATGATTTTCTACGTTTAGGGTTATCATAAAGAATCCACTTTTCATTGCCTGTAATGATTTTGTGCAGAAAATCTTTTTTCTGGAACTTTGAAAGCAAAGTGAGTGCACGCCAACGATTTTTGTTGTCTTCGGACAATTCATGCGGAACCCATCTGCCTTCCTTCTGAATCTTTCCCATCGTATGTAAACGTACGGAAATGGTTTGCTGCGTAACGCCAAGCTGTTCTGCAAGCTCCTTTTCAGTTTGCGCAAAGTTTATATCCAGCAGTGCTTGCAATTCGTCCGTTTCAATCTTTTGAGGGCATCCAGCATGCGGTTCACCTTCAAGACTGAAATCTCCTTGGTGAAATTTTTGATACCATTTTTACATGTAGTATGACTTACAGCGTTCTCTCCATATGCAGCATAAATCATTGCAGTGGCTTCAGCAGCATTTTTCTTCAGATGAAACGTGAAGTGGATGGAAAATCGAATATGCTCTTTTGTTATTGCCATCGTGAACACTAATGATTTTTGAGGTTATGTGCATCAAACGCCAAACCATATGGCATTTTAGAAGGCCAAATGTCAACGCTTTAAAACCGCGGGTTTAAAAGAGCGGGAAGATATATAAAATTTAAATTGTTATTTCGGTTATATGAAATCTAAAGCTCAGAACTTTTTTGTACACCTAATATATACGCTCTGACAGCAGGTGACAAATATTATACCGCTTTTTCTTCGGATATGAACGCGTTAGAGAAATAAAAGTCACGGTAATAACGGAGTTATACGGTCCATAGAGGGTTCGCGAGCGTTATTCTCGCGATGCACTATCTCACTATCCCATTGCCATCAGGACAATTGCCGGAACAACGGCGACGATATATATATATATATATATATATATATATATAATATATATATATATTTATATATAGAATACTTTGATGATTTTTTTTGGATGCTTTGCATTTGTGTAGCATAAAATTGACATTGACTGTGTGCTAGATCTTATACATAAGATTTGTATGAAACTCCCCCCTCCGCTCCCCTCGACATAATGTCGCTGTGTTATTGGTATTAGTGATTTTACGATATCATCGCAGGTATTCGATATGCTTCAATTATGTACTCCACATATGACGATGCACATTTACCTTTAAAAGTGTCCGACGAGCTGCAAATGAACGTACGGGTTTTCTAATCGCATACGGTTTATTCCCGTTTCACGTGATTTCCGAGCCTCGAGCTGTTGGCTTAGAAAGACGATTTAGGTTTTCAGAAAGACACTGCCGCAAGAAAATTGCGATGGATTTCCACCTTAATCAGAGTTCGTGTGTACAAAAAGTCTGCCGGTTAATGACAATTTTCTTCTGTCGGTGTCGTCGCATGTAAGGTGTATTGTATATCCGAAGGAACAACTCGATTTATTCGATCTATCCCGACAACGACGCACAAATCTCCATAACATCGTTTATGCGCACAAGATACTTGTCATCAAAGCGGACAAAAGCGACGATCGCTTCTATCTCGAGAAATGCAAAAATCGCGGGCGTACGTTCGCAATCGCGGGTAGTAATCGCACATGATATCTGGTTCCCACAAAGAAAAGTTCGTCGCGTTACACGGGAAGGAATAAGTACCTTGAAGTACAAATGCGGGCATCCACAATGCAAACGCGTTTAGCATATTTTATTTCCCTGTGAGTGATGTATTTTTTGTAGAAAAAAAGCAAATAAGTAAAATGACGCGTTTAAAAAAAAAAAAAAAAAGAAAGAAACACGAACAAAAGCTCGAAAAGAGGGCGACCGGTGAATCCTCGTTTGGCGGCATGTTCCTCAATTTTTCAGAAACTTTTCGCCAATATTAGATGCGTGCGAATACGGCCGAGTCGCTAAAAAATTAACGACGAAACAAAACCCACATGCTATCGGGCGAGTTAGAAGCGGAGAGAAGCGGAGAAGAGCGAAGCATCGCGCGAGTGTAAGCTCTCGCATACTTTAAAGTGAAACTAATACCGCAAGCCGACAGAGAAAAGAAGTTAAAAAAAAAAAACAGAAAGAAAAGAAGGGCCGGAAACGGAACATTTTTCACGTTAAAAAACGGAACGTTTTTCACCGTAGAGCGAAACTGCACTGCACCGAGCGCGGAGATGAAAAATTGGCGGTCGGTAGGTCGAAGGAAAGACAAGGAGGAAGGAGAGAAAAGTAAAAAAAAAAAAATGAAAGAAAGAAGTAAAAAGAAAGGAACGGAGAAATATGTATACACTTTGCGAAAGCACTCCCTCTTTTACCCCTCCCCCCTCTCACCCTTTCTGAAATAGGAAACAGGGCACGGGACGTCGCACGCCGCCGTCGCCGCAGGCCAACGGTCGCAGGCGAGCCGAGGAACACGAGAACACCGTGAGCGAAACTGCATGCGTTCTTCTCTTTTACCGCTAACAGATTGCGCAATAGTGCCCGAGACATTTCTGGCATTTGATCTGATTACATCTGGTAGGTCCTCGGTGTTCGCTTTTGCATGGCACTTAACCTCCCCCGTCCGACGACCCCTCCCCTGCCTCCGCCTCCCCCCCCCTTCACCTCCTTGGCTGCGCCAATGTTATTCGGAGCATTTGACGATAGATCGGCTATTGATGTCCTGTCGATGCTTGTACGTCCCTCGAGTCGCATGATCGCTTCAACCGCGGGAAAGTGTCCCCGGAGCGAAAGCGTTTCAATAATTCATCCAATCAGGATTTCGTCTTCCCGGTGACGCTTTTCCCACCGCTGCGATATAACACTATCCCCGCCTCTCTTCCCCCCTCGGTTTCTTCTGTTTCATATTTCTCGACACACACATTAACCAGGTGATAGATAGTCGTCACGGATTGACGCGCGGATTGCACGTCGCCTCGAGGCGTGCAACTCGATAAAATGACGTCCTCCCACCCCGGACGCATCAAGCTCGATCCGTGACGAGTTACCTTATCGACGTGCGCGATTACGCCAAGGGAGATTAATATGGCAGATGTGGACGGAACGGTCACGAATGCTACTGACCTCGTTTGGTCTTGGGATCAGCATGAGAAATTCTCGAAAAATTGTTGATTTTCATGTCTGCCTACAATCTGTTTCACCCTTTACATAATTACACAACGTATTGATACTAGACTCAGAGACAAGTTGAAAAAAGTTTGGAAAAAATTAGAAAATTAGAAAAAGAAAGACGCATCGCTCTTTCCATGTTAATTATCGGAAAAATATTAAATCCACATCTGCGTATCGATGGTCATTTCTTTTTGTACGTTATTGACAACTTGGCGCCGCACGTCCCAGAGTGGCGATAATATAACGTAGAAAGAAATTTGATTTGTTACGAGACGTATGAATAATCGCTTTTTATAGACGCAAGTCTTTTTATCAAGTATATTTTTATCGAATAATAACATACAAAGAGCAAAAGAGAAAAAGATGTACGCGTAATAAGTTCTTTTATTCAACTTTCTTTGTGTTCCTCTATTAGATTCTCCATAGTCGGAATATTCTCCCGGGGCTCGTATCCGAGAACAATAATTATTAAATTAAAAATACACTCGTAATTATAACGGTATTCATTAAGTGCGAAAGTTTGCTACGTTTGCGCAGTTATTTTCTCTTATTTATTATTATTATTATTATTTTTTTTGTACAAAAAGATTATGTACGCGCTGCCATTATAAATACTATCTTCCGATTCGAGGTTGGATTTGGGCTTCTGTTGCTATCTATTTCATTACGCACGTTCTTCTTTGCGTTACGAAATTCTTTAATTGGAAAGACTATCGCTCGGGGTGTCAAGAAGGGAAAGCAATAACTCGTTACATTTCCTCGCCGCCGTAACACGCGCGACGCTGTTTAATTGCAATTTTTCTCTTCTCCAGGAATACTCCGTACAATTAACATTTCGGGAACAATGGTTGGATGAGAGATTACGATTTGATGACTTCGGAGGTACGTAAAGTTCATGATATTTTATGACGTGAGCTCAATTTGAATTTCCACGCTCCCCCTTTCCGGAATCGTAACGCGATAAAATGGGAACAACATGGGTGATACAACGGTGTCATGCGATGCGTGCGCGATGTCATTACAAAAATATGTATAATAATAACGTTTTAAAGGTAGAATGCACTCTCTATACGGATTTAGCGATGGAAAAATCAAAGTGTTCGGCCGAAGCTCGTCATTCCTTTACTTTCGATAAATGCCAGAGTATCTTTATGCGGTGTGCGATACCGCGCAAACCGATAACCTGCGATCAACGCGAGAAGTTCGGGCGCACAAAGGCCATTTATATATGTATATATCATATTTTTTCTTTTTTTTTTCATATCGCGCTGTAAAGGGCGAGTCGTAACATTTTATTCGTGCACGTCGGTCGTTACGCAAATTTAATAGCGGCTATTTTTATCCCCCTTTCGCAAATTGCCGCTCATGTCCGCGCTTTCTGCTTACTGAATGAACGCTAACGAGTAATACCGTATTCGTTAACGTAACGCCAATTCTTCACGGGTGGCGCACCCGCCGTCTGTTGAACGTTGCAGGTAGACTTAAATATTTAACTCTGACGGAGGCCAGCCGCGTCTGGATGCCGGATCTGTTCTTCTCGAACGAGAAGGAGGGTCATTTCCACAACATCATCATGCCCAACGTATACATACGAATTTTCCCGAATGGCTCGGTTCTCTACAGCATACGGTGAGTACCGACCGTATAATCGACGCTATTAACCACCGATTCGGCGAACGTGAAGGTCGGTTTAATCAGCGAGATTGCGCAATTTTTTTCACGAAGGATCGTTGCGAGATAGCACCCCTCTTTCTCTCTCTCTCTCTCTCTCTCTCTTTTCTTTTTTTTTTTCCATGAACATCACTCGCAAGTTTTCGTGGTCGACATTAACGTCGCCACGTTATACGGAGGAGAATATATTATCCATCGCGCGCCCGCACTTTTTCACTCCCCCGTGATAATCGAACGTCGCGAAATTTGTTTTTCTAATGTACACACCGGAGATCTAGTCTATGTACCGTGCGGGATGACCAAACACGCGCGTTCGTTACGTCGCGAATTGGATTCTTACTTCCACCGCCATTGTATAAACCATCGCTGTTTTTTTTCCCTTCCCGCGCAGGATATCCTTGACGCTCTCGTGTCCCATGAATTTGAAACTGTATCCCCTGGACCGACAAGTTTGCTCACTTCGTATGGCCAGCTGTAAGTAATCCCGATTACTCTCGTTTCTTGTCCGTCGATTTAGCTCGATTAGATCTGCAATGAATGTTGTCTCTCGTTAAACGTTTACGTTAACGACCGCTCGCGCAATAATAATCATCCTTCGTCCGTCCCGACAGACGGATGGACGACGAACGATCTGGTCTTTCTCTGGAAGGAAGGCGATCCCGTTCAAGTGGTCAAGAACTTACATCTACCCAGGTTCACCCTCGAGAAATTCCTCACGGACTATTGCAATAGCAAGACAAACACCGGTAAGTAGAGGCTCCTTACGTCGAGAAGCAAAAAAGAAAACACCTGGTGAACACGCGTAATCTGATGATGAAATAAAAAATAAAACAGGAGAATACAGTTGTTTGAAAGTGGACCTGCTGTTCAAGAGGGAATTCAGTTACTATCTCATCCAAATCTACATCCCGTGCTGCATGCTCGTTATCGTGTCCTGGGTGTCTTTCTGGCTGGATCAGAGCGCCGTGCCTGCCCGGGTGTCGCTAGGTATGAATTATTATTATGTTTGATCTAAATGCAAAGCGCGATGTGTAATTAATGGCTCGGGACCGCGATGTACGCTTATTTACTAACGGGAATGAATCTTCGGCGATAAATGGAATTCGAACGCAATAGTAGATGAGATCTCAATCGAGAAGCGAAATGATGGAGATTAAAGAAAAGAGATGGAGATTAAAGAAAATTTTAAAATTCAGTAGAAACAGGGACGGGAAAGTCGATATTTCGGAAAAGAACAAATAGAACTTAATGATTGAACCTATCTATTTTTAAGTCCCGGTCTTTAAGTAAAAGTGAAGAGCTCGAAAACGTATTTCAAATTAATTATTTAAAGAAATACAGAAGTGATTAACGTAATCACTGATCGTAAAGAAAAGAAAAGTTTCAGTTATATACACGTTTATCTGGATCATCTGTTTTTCGAATCGCTGTCTATCGATTCTTCCCGTTGATTGTGAGGCTTTACAAGAGTACCATTCTTCTCCCATCTAGGCGTTACGACACTGCTGACGATGGCCACGCAGACATCGGGGATAAATGCCTCACTGCCACCGGTCTCCTACACGAAAGCTATCGACGTCTGGACGGGAGTGTGCTTGACCTTTGTGTTCGGTGCACTACTCGAATTCGCGCTGGTCAACTACGCGTCGCGTAGCGACATGCATAGCGACAACATAAAAAAGCAGTTCCCGAGCGAGATAGAGCACTCGTCGTCGATCGATCCATCCTCGGAGCTACTCGAGCCGGACGGATCCGCCAACTTCGCTATGGTCAGTGTACCAAGATGCAAGGGTTTTTCAAGCGCTAAGATGTCCCCGAGATAGCCGCTTTCCTCTCCTCCCGAGTTTTTCCGGAAGAAAAACGTCGTTTTTTTTTTGGTCAATCGCGATTGGAAATTTCGAGTCCTTATTCATTATCGAGAAGAGATGAGAATTTTTCTAGATAGTTTTCTCTGGAAATGAAATTACGGAATCAGTTTCTTATCTGGCAAAAAGGGGAGGATCGGGATTCTCTCGATTAGGATCGAAATCACTTAGGATTGAAATCGAGGAGCACGAGGCCTAAGTGTGCGAGAATCTAATGGATCAATATCCGCCCGAATTCTTTCAGAAGCCTCTGGTTCGACACCCGGAGGATTCCATGTCGTTGGATAAATTGCAGCAGTGCGAAATACATATGCAACCACGGAAAAAAAACTGCTGCAGGTCGTGGCTGTCCAAGTTCCCGACGAGGTCCAAGCGCATCGACGTCATTTCACGGATATTCTTCCCAATCGTATTCGCTTTCTTCAACCTCACGTACTGGTCCACGTACCTGTTTCGGGAGGAGGAGGAGGGCGAGTAAATCACGAGGAGGAGGCGCTCGGATCAACAAGGGAAGTGGCTCGCGGCCATCCTCAGCAACAACAGTTCCAACAGACACGACCGCCGCAACAACGTTCGCGTCCTCGTCACCGACAACTGTATCATCATCCTCAGAATCGTCATAATCACCATCATCCTCAGAATCATCATCATCATCATAATCCCCATCACTCTAATCATTTTTACCATCAACAGCCTCAACAGCAGACTCGTCATATCGGCGGCAATCCGTCAATGTCGCAGCATCATTCGCTGCCGCGTACGTATCAACAGGACCATCAGCAGCAGCAGAAGCAACAACAACAGCAACAGCAGCACCACCATCATCATCCGCTGCATCGTCATCAGCATCAGCGTTATCATCCGAATCGTTCGCCGTCGCCGTCTTTCTCGCTACTGAACGACGAAGACTGCGTCGCTGGCCGATGCTCGCCCATGAGGCCACCGCGACACCATTCGCGCAGAAGCTCGGCGAGATCGTCACCGTCGCCATCGCGATGGCCCTCGCCGGCCTCCTCGGCGTCACCCTTGGGCACACCGTCGCGCACCATGTCGCGCGCCGCGACACCCTCGCCGCCGATCGCGACAGCGATCTCGTCCGCGGCACCGCTGCCCACATCGACGACGGTACCGTCGCAAACGTACTGCTGGAACCTGGGACGAAAATTGTTCACCTGTCGTGCCCAAGGCAGCGCGAGAATCGACATCTTTGCGCGCGTTGCCTTTCCCCTCATGTTCATCCTTTTCAACTTCGCGTACTGGTCTATCTATCTGTTTCGCGGCGACGACAACGTGGGCACAGATAAATGAGAACGGAGAGGAAAGCGTATACGGAATCAGAATCACCTGTACGAAGTCGAGCCAAGTGCAAATCCGTCAAGTCGGAGAGGAAATGCCCTCGAAGAAATGCCGAAGCGAGCAAGCTTTATGCAGAAACTCCGATCGATAAGATAATACGTGAACATCATCAAATCATCACGTTTACTTGACGAGAACCGACCGGAGGCACTTCGATGAGAAAATTCCTCCACTGCCTGCGCCCGAAACGGGAATATTCCAGTACGAGGATCATCCACAAGACGCAACGAGGACGTTAGCAACGTTCGGTAGAACCATCTCGTGACGGTGGGTAAAATGATGAGGACGATGAAATGCGATGAGTACCTTAGATGCGTACCACACCTTACACATATACAAACATGCGCATACATGCATAACATGCACACCGTACCTCATGACCCGCTCGGAAGACCGCGTGCCACAGACTGAACTGAAAGCGTAGTGGGCCCTGTATAGCCACGGCCTGTTAACAATTAAAGAAAAAAAAAAAGCGTAAAGTTTATAAGCATAATTATGTTTACGTTGCGCAAGATCGCGCGTCGTCAGGTCGCGAATGCGTCCGTCGTTGCGAAATTAACGTCGGACGGTTCGCCGGATCTGGTAAGTGTTACCATAAGACGGGGTAACAGTAGCATAACAGTGCGACACGTCGAGACAACTCGGTTCGCTTCGACTTCCATGCGGAATGACAATCGCATCGATAAACGTGCGAGAGTTAAGAGCGGCGTGCTCGTATTATTTTGTCGTTGTTCCACGAAGAAAACGACACCGGCATTGGCTTGCTGTGTCGCATGTTACCCCTTCTTAAGGCTGCATCAGATGCACACGAGGATCGACCGCGGGATGTTCGACGCTGAAAAAAGGATATTGGGAATATTAAGTATTTAGAAAAGTGCCGAACATTCCGATGAATCTTCTGGTGTATACAAAATCTGTTAGTATGAGCTGACAGGTTTATCAATCCTAGCGGTACCAAATGACGCGGAGTCTCCGGAATCTGTATTTGAGTTATCGTATTTTTCTATTTATCCCATATAATTTAAAAGGAAGATGTGAAGAAATAGCTATCGCAAAATGTAACAATCAAGAGAAATTTACAATTGTAATTTAATTATGCCAATGGAGAAGCTATCCCCTCGTCATGGATAATGTACAAGATGTTTTGGTATCGCTAGGCTTAATCCTTATCCGGGCAATTTCGTCTTTATTATCTTAAAGAAAAAGGACTAATGCTCGTAGAAGGGATTATTCGACGTAAGTTATTGGCGAACGAAGATTCAAAATATTTTAGACAAATTTAGAATGAACAAAGAAGATACATCCGGTTTACCTGGAGGATAATCTAAAGCCCGGATGAAGATTAACAGACGCAGACGCGAGTGCGAGCCGCGAGAGCGGTCGCGGACTCGCGATACGAAGTATCGGCGAAGCGGTCGCGTCGCATGAAAAACCGCGTACAACGTATTTCTTGTTTCCGCCGCCCCGGGTCAACGTTCGCCCGGGAGAGGAAATCCCGACTCGGGGACGCGACCCCCGGGGCTCTCCCACGTATATTGCTCATAAGAGATCGGCGACGCCGCGCGCGGAAATCTTACCCGTCGACCTGTCTGTCGAGGAGCTGCGGTGTCGTCGACCTCGCGGATGGAACGAGGAGACGACGAAGACACGCAGAACGTGCTCACATAGAAAAAGAAAAGAAAAAAAAAAGAAGAAAAAGGAAAAAAATGAAAAAAAAAGGGAAAAAGAGAGAGAAAGCGGTGCGGACGATTGATATTTTTTGAAACACACGACGGGAGACGCTACCCTCAAGCGAGAGACGACATAGCGCGTTTGCCGGCGTCGACGACAGCGAACCTCGACGAGAGCGCACCACCGACTCCGCGTCCGGTGGTGATAACGGAAGAGCAGGGGCTGCGCGATTGGACGCCTCCGCACTCCACACACGACCGAGATGAAAAGTGAAATGTCGCGCCTCCGCATTCTCGAATCCGGGAAATGATCATCATTCGGAGGATGTAACTACCGGGGGCCTCCGACGAATGGGGCGAGTTTCGTAGCGCGACGTGTTCGATCGCATCTCCCCCCCGTTCTTCTTCCCCGTTTGTTGTATCTTCCTTTTATTCCGTGCAACCGTAGCGCGTGCGTAAGAAACGAATCTCGCGGGTTTGGCAAACGGCCCGCGAGTCATCGGCAGGTATCTCTCGCCTCCGTAGGACCGCGTGTTGTATCTAGGAAATAGACGGATAAATGATTTCTCCTTTCTAAAAAAAAAAAATTACAGTTGAGAGTCACAGTCTGTCAGATCGAAGCTGATCAAGCTCGATCGCGTCGTTCCGAGAATTCGTCTTTAGCGAAAATCCGTTCCCGGATACAACAAGCCTTTCCTGGTTCCGCGAAGCGCGATTGGAACGAAACGCGTCCTCACGAAAGCTATTATTCGTCGTAAATGCAAATATAAATGTCATTCAGTGGTGACTGTGTTTTTTTATAACGAATCGTTGCACTTTTGAGAAAAATATCGTGAAGGTATAGAGGATATTAAGCTGCGAGGGTAAACGAGCTTATATTTACGCCACGATTCATAAGCGAGATTACCTGACGGTATCGTTTTAGAGATTTTTTTCAAATCTTAGGGATGAAAACTGAGTCATTGACATTAGCGAGCGAGAATTACTTTCCGTTTGGATCCCGGCAATATATCCAGGTTATTTTCTCGCCGATAGCGATAGTGCGTCACATCCGGAGTGTCGGAGCGGTATCGATTATTATTTCCTATGAAATTCAACCGTTTGACACACATTGGCGAAATTATTAGACAGAATCTAACTGTAATACATGCTGTAATCTCTCGACCCGTGACTCGTCATCGAGCTTTCCACCAGTTCGCTTCGCGCAACTCCTGCGCGAGAGAAGAGCTAGCGCATTCGCGTAGATTCAAATGCGTACATGGAATCAGGAACGATTCGCCGTTTCAGTCGCGCGTCCTACGCGTGAAGTATCCGAACCAATCTCGTGATCCAAGTAGAACAATAATACGGTATACAGTATTACCTCGAATCTAATGTTAGCAATAATCGAAAGACGCGAGCTTCGTTCTTTATGCCGATTGTTTGTATATCCCTGCACACGGAACAATCGGAGTCGTAGACGCCTAGCATAGACGGAACAATCGTTATCTTCGTTTCTCATTTCCTGTGACGGATCCTTTCAGATCTCAGTTCTGTCCAGTCCGGCATCGTGTCTAGATGTGTGTGTGTGTGTGTGTGTGTGTGTGTGTGTGTGTGTGTGTGTGTGTGTGTGTGTGTCGCGGCGAATGTACAGTTTCTCGAAGAGAGAATTCTCGCGAGGAAGATCCAGGAAGAGAGAACGTTTACAACATTGATACAGATATAATCCATGAAAGAGAAAACGACGAGAGAAGGAATGTAAATTACGTGTAAATATTCCCTTTCTCGGGCATCTGAGACGGAATCGACGGGAGAAGAAGGAGCAGTGTTCGTGTTCACAGCGGTCCGGTTTTTGCTGGCGGGATGCAAGGACAGGCGACGACGGTTGCTGCTGCTGCTGCTGCTGCTGTTACACTGAAAGTGGTCAGAGAAACGTGGCTACGTACACTCGCGATTACTATACACTTCATGAAACGATAGTAAAACCTGGGCCCGCGCGGATTGCGACACTCGTGGCACCGAAACACGGATACGCAGCGGCCGAACAATGGTCGGGGGTTCTTTCACCTCAATTTTGCCTCGTTTTTTTAAGCACTCACTGTGATTTCAACAATTATGATTCTGAAAATTTGGAATTTTATAAATCTCATAAAAATCTAAAAAAAATCGATAGAGAATACAAATAAGAAAACGAAATAAAAAGAATTCAATTCATTTCCATTATTAATTTTCAAAAATTAATCGTAAGATTTATCTCTTCTTTTTTTTTTTTTTTTTTTTTTTTACTTTGT